TGCCGTGACGCTGCTGTGGTCTGTCCGCGACGCCGCCCTGGTGTCGATGATGTCGTACCTGTGGAGTGACAGCAAAGAGGACTCCTTGGTGAATGCCGACCCGTTGGAGCGCGAGGTTGCCGCGTGCTCGGTGAGCCCCGCTGCCGCGGTTCCTGCGCTGCGCCTGTTTGTGACAGGGGGCGCGGCGTGCGGCAGTGTTTCCCAGACGGAGGTTGCTGTGACGGCGGGGCGACTCGACGCCGCCGCTGAGGTCCCCTTCGTCGTCGGCGACGCGGATCCCCGCTCGGTGTTGGTGTTTGCGTGTGGCCCGGCTGGCCTGGTGCGAAGCGCGAGGGACGCAGCACTGGCGCTTGGGGCAAACTTCCGCGAGGAGAGTTTCAACCTTTAGAAGGGTGGTGTAGCAGGGAGAGGAGGTGCTAAGTTTTTTTGTTTTTGTTTTTTTCTTCTGGCCGTCAGTGCAATGGCCAGTGCACTGACATGGGGCGGGTGAGTACAACTTCGACAACTGTTTCTAGGAAGTGTAGCATACTAATTACAACCGCAAAAAACTCTCACCCAACTGTAATGACTGCCAAAATGGAACTGTGTGTGCGTGGTTTTTGCGTGGCCGGCGTCGTTCCGCCGTGTTTTCGCTTTTTGGGAGAGTAAAGGGCGACATGTCACGAATTGGACGCGATTATTTTCCACGCAGCCCAAAAAAAGAGGCGGAACCAGCTGGTGGGGGCCTGCGTTTCTGCGGGTGGCCACCTCGCCACCGCCTGTTGAGGTTCCGGCGGCGTAATTGTGGTCTGGGTGTAGGTGTTTTTTGTATTATTCAACTTTCGTTTGTTGTGTGATGTGTGATTGTAGTTTTGTAAGGATTTTGTTATTTTTAGGATAGTTCGTTTTTGTTTTGTTATCGCTTTCTGGCTTTTTCTTAAATTGTAGGATGTCGACTTGTGTTTTGCGGGAGTGTTTATGTCGCTTGTAGCTCGTTCTACCTGCGGCTTGCGGATTTGTTGCGATGACGCCTTTGGTGTGGTTATTTGGTACGCACTTGCCTTCCGCTTTGCCTTTTTGCACGGATAAACTTTGGCGGTGGGGGGCGTGTGCGCACTTGGACACTCACACACAGTCTGCGTTACAAGTGCACATATTTTTCTTTTTCCTTAAAGAGTGAGAGAGAAAAAAAAAAAAAAAGAACTGTGTCGTGGTCGAGCTGCTTTAGTAGGTGACGAATGTCGCAGACGGTTTTGCTTCACGTAGATGTGTTGCGTGGGCGGAATTATCCGCAGACGGAGGACGACCCGTGCGCGTGCTCCACGCGGGTGCGAGTGATGCTGTACAAGAGCGATCTAACGGAGGCCCTGGGCGATGTGTTTACTACTGGGCTGCAGGAGAATTCCAATGCTCCCTTTTACAGTGCGGGTGTGGACTTTGAGCTGCCGCTGGGGCTGGAGGGCGCCGTGTTGGTGGTGGAGGTGGAGGAGACGACGCGGCGGATGGAGCCGTATGTCATGTTCTACGGCGCGCAGCGGGTGTCGCTCTCGGCGAAGGGGAAGGTGGAGGAGGTGATCGCCCTGACGCTGACCAATCCGCTTGAAAATCCGGAGGCGGCGGCGCAGGAGGCGATGGAGGCCGCGGAGAGTGCGACGCCGTGCCCGGTGCTGAGCCTTCGCTACCACGTTGTGCGGCAGAAGAGCGCCGAGGTGGTGGAGGATGTGCACGCGGATGTTGAGCTGCCTGCCACCCCAACTCTCACGGGTTCGTGCCGCATCATCCCAAAGCACTCCCAGTACGTGTGGGTCAACCTCACATCCGACGCGCGCTGGTTGGAGGCCTTTCGCTACTGGCTTGTGAGCGATTGGCAGGACAGGGCCCCGCTGCTTGGGAGTGCCGCGGCGACGGAGCCCGCGGGGAATGGGCCTACGAAAGGTGCGGCCACGACAAAGTCGCCGCCGCGATCCACGCCAGTGTTGGATGTGCGTACGGTTGGCGACGTCATTATAAAACGGTGGTGCTGTTTCCGCTCACATGAAGTGCTGACGCGCCTGCGCCTTTGCGCGGAGGCGTTTAACAGCGGGGAAAAATCGCTTTACTTTACCCGCGAGCAGGAGTTGTCCTATCGACTTCAACGCAAAGAGCGTGTTTGCCTTTTGCAGGAATTGATGCAGGCCTCGCTTCGCAATATGGGCGTCTCTGGGCTCCGTGACACCCTGGACCGTCTCTGGATTTTCTTTTCCACCGGCATCAAACACGATCCGGCGGGTCCGCGTGTTCTCACCTACGAGGCACGCAGGAAGGTGCGGGAGGCCGGGTTCGACTGCCGCGACAAGGCGGTTCTGCACTCAAGCATCCTGAACTTTCTCGTCCCCTCCCTCACCATGGATCAGTGCGACGAGTTTGCCGCGGCGGAAATGGACGAAGCAGAGGCGGTGGACGCCAATTCTGCGGCAAATCCAAAGGGTGAAAGTAATGGCGACCACAACGATTCGATGTCTGCGCCCGCCTCCGAGGTCGCCTTTGCGATGGCGCTCGTAGATTACATCGGCGCTTTGCTGGACACCCTCACGGAGACGGAGTTTGTGGCCGCCCTCAAGGCCTTTGAGCCGGCGGTGGTAAAGGCGCATCAGCGTCTTAAGGGCGACGCCAAGGATGAGATTAAGCGTGCGCGCGGCAGGCTCAAGCCGCCGCTGCAGCGGGAGCGGAAGCCGTACTTCCCCGGTGAGGGCATCAAGATCGACCACCTTGACATATTGGGCCGCAGGAAGAAGAGCTTTCACCTACGTTAAAGTTTCTACGCGGTGTGAGACGGCCCGTCTTTTTTTTTGTAGAGTTTTGCAGCGATGCCCCATCTCGAGCAATGAAAGACCCGCACAGTGTGCTAAGATTGACAAGGAGTAAATAACAACACAAAGAGGGGATGGGGGGATGATAACAAAAAAAAGAAAAACGAAAAAAAACAAAAACAAAAACGCAACACCTCAGCATGGGGGAGGGGGGGGGAACACCAAAATGCAGAGGAGGAACGCGGTTGCACTGCGTGGCAGATGCTGCTGCGTCTCCTCCCGCTCTGTTTCTCTCTTGCTGGCGTGGCTCTGGGAGGTGTGGGCGTCCCGCGTGCCACAAAGTGCAAGGTGACGAAAGATGGCGATGATGCTTTCTCCGATGTGTTTCTGCGTGTATGTAGGTGTGTGGCTGCCGGAGTACTGTGGCCTGGGAGAGGATGTAGGCAGGCTTGCCTGTGCAACGCAGTTCGTGATTGTGGCATCACTTTGCGTTTTGCGCAATTTTGTTTTTGTTTTTACTTCTTACTTTAGCTTGAACTCGCAGATTTTTTTTTATGTTTTCATTTTTGCTTTTTATTGTTAGGACAGTTCAGTCTTCTTTTTTTTTGTTCTCTGCGTGAAAATGGAATGCGAAATTGTGAGATCCTTCTCGCGAACAACGACAGCAGGTAGTAGGGCGCAAATCAGCAGGCGCGGTGAAGTATTGGGGAGTTTGCAAGATCGTTGCGTCCGCATGCCTTATGAAGGCATGTGCTCGAAGCGCCTTGGAAGATATATATATATATATATATATCGATATATCCATAAGTGTGTATGTAGCATATATGTGCGTTGTCTTTGTCCAGTTCATATGCATCTTATATGACTATATCAATTGCGTCGTTTGCTATGCTCCAAGAAGAGAGTTCTTTTTGTCCTTTTTTTTTCTATTTCCTACTCGTTCTTATCTTTTCCTCACTCACTCTCTCTCTCTTTCTCTCTTTCTACATATATATATATATAGCTTTTCTGTGAATAAACTGGTCTGTGTGTACCGTTACCTTTTTTTCTTTGTGTTGTCTGTGCTGCTGCTTGACGTCGGTTGTTTCCTTCTTGATTTTGCTCCTATTGTTTCTTTGTTGTTTTTTCTTCTTCTCTTTCTCTGGTGAGGAAACAATAGCTGGGGTGGCGGTTGTGGGTGGGAGGGCTGTTTGCCGGCTCCGAGGCGGAGGGAACTGTTGTCTGGCAAGCATTTTTTCCAACTATAACCCCAGCTGCCCCACTTTTTTTTTCGCAGGCCCAGGCACACACGCCTTTGCGTATGCGCACGTAAGTTTGCTTGCTTCTGTTTCTCTGCTGCTCCGTTAATTATTTTTCGCACATTCAGGCAGGGCGGGAGAGATTCAGTGTGTAGCTGGGCGGGAGCATGCCACTGAGGAAGCGGCGACCGACGCGGGGTGGGCGGCTTTTCCCTTTTTTGTTTCTATCGACACTGTTGTTTATGATGGCTGCGTCACCGCTTGCGTCTGTGGGGGCGGCGGAGCTCGCCGTGGTGGAGGCGGCGTGCGGCTCGACTATTCCAGCGGACAGCCAGTGGGTGGTTGGCCCGCTGTGGTCCTTCCGGCCGCTTGCGTGGGGCCCACTCGCGCGTCTTGCGGATCCTAAGCTGCGCTTTGGACGCGTCTCTGTGAGTAGAGAAGTAGAGGACATTGTGCGTTCCGAGGCGGGGGTGAACCCAAGCGGCGTGGTGCTGTTTGAGTTGAACCCGCTTTTTCACGCCGTGAATGAATGCCTGTTCTACTGGAACCCGCTGAAGGCGGCAATGGACGGCACCGTGGCGACTGCGGCGCGTGTGATCGCCCTTGCCGTCACCAGCCTTAACGCGTCGTGCCCGACGCCGTCGCAGGTAGAGCTCACGCTTCAGTACAATGAGAAGGTGATTCATTTTCTTCCGGTGGGCGTCGGGCAATCCACGACGTACTCCCTCAGTTTCTCAACGAGGGATTTGCGTTGGCCGGCCTTCTTTAAGGCTCCACCCAGCTGCGTGGTTTACCTGCTTTTACTCACGAATCGCCAAGGATCTATTCATAGATGGTACGCATGGATTCCGGCAACGGTTTTTACAGGAGCGGCACTGTTGTTGGTCACCACGGTGGTCCTATTTCGGTATGAGCTGCCACCAGGAACAACCGCCATGCTGTTAACACTCTTCTTTGTGGGTTATCTCGGGAGTTGCATTGGCCTTGTGATGGAGGCACTTTCTTGGCAAAGCGCCCTTGGCCGCATGTTCCCTTTTCCTGACGCAGTTACCCTATACTGTTGTCTCCCGTTTTTCTACCTGCTGGCGCTCCTGCTGGTGCTGCTGCGTCATCGTCATTGTGAAGTTTTGTTTCACGCCATGTTGCGCCTTGCGGTCTACGGCTTAAACTTTGCCCTCTGCTGCGGGTATTGGGTGGCTGGGGATGTCTTGCTTGGCTCCTTGACGTTGGTACAGTTTCTCATGTCAAATCTCTTCTTGTCGGCCGCCTACTCCTATTTTGCAGTCATTCTTGGGCGCTCGCAGCTTCGGGCCGAGCCGATTTCCAGTGCGTTGTGGTTTTTGTGGTTTGCCCCGCTCACTCCTTTCGCTCCATGTCTCTTGGTGTACTATGATCTGTACATGATGCAGACGGGCAGCCAGCCACCCGGCACCTTGAACTCGATGCTACAGAAGGCGGTTGTGATGTACGACACACTGACGTCCTTCCCGCTACTTTTTCTACAAAATGCATGGGGGATTGCCCTGCTTGCCACAGCTACGTCCTACCACATGCCTTTCCTTGTTATTCTATTTGCGGCCCTCCTGCTCTTCGCTCTGCACTTCATTTTGTCGGTCAGGGAGTACGCCAAACTCCGCAGTCGCTGGGTACGCCAGGGCGACCTCACGGAGGGGAGAGGCTGCTTTGGCTTTTTCTGCGACTGGTTCAAGCTGTGGGCCGCACTTGAACGCTGCGTCCGCGATGTGCGCCGTCAGCGGCCAGCGGAGCTGGAAACCCGACGGGAATGCCGCTCGATGGCGGCGATGGGTGGGGAGAGACCAGCGGGGGCGCCACCCGAGGCGCCCGCGTGGCAGGCCCACAGGCCGAACGAGGAGGAGTTGTCGTATTTGCCTTCATCAACCGACTTGGAGAACGAGGGGGAGCAGCGGAAGGAAGACTACTGGCCAGCAAGCGTCAGCAGGTAGGTGGGGAGGCCGCAAAGGGAGAGAGAGAAACAAACAGAGAAAAGATGAAAGAACAACAACGACAACAGACACCGCAAATTTAGGTGGGAGAAGCCGTATCTGTCGTGGGTGGCGACGGCGGAGACTGCCGCCGCGTGGTGATGGGAGAGTGGCTGCACATCTTTCTGTACTTTTACGCGTCCACGGGTTTGGCCATGAAGCTCTTGGGGGGTGGTGGTGGTGTGTGGGTGCAGTGATTGGTGCCGCGCTTCGTGTGCGCAAAGCATCACATGTTCGATGTAATTTTATTTCTTATTTTATTTGTGCCATTTCTTATTTATTTATTTTTGTTTTTGTTTTCACCTGGTGGAATCGGGAACTTTTCTTCGCTCGACTCACCGGCTGGTAGGCTGCGTCGCCATGTGGGGGTCGTGGCTGGACCAGATACACAAGAAGCTTGACGATGTCTCCGGACTCGCGGAGCAGGCCATAGGCGGCGTCTACGGAGAAGAGGAAGAGGAAGAGGAAGAGGAGGAGGAAGAGGAGGCGCGAAAGGAAGAGGACACGCGTTTGCAAGCGGAGGGCACGAAGCTGACCGGGAAAGAAGCGGCAAGCGGACAAGGGGCGGACGTTGTCGGCAATGCGCTTTCGCAGCCGCCAGCGTCGCCCGAGCTGTGGCAAGGAAGTCTCGTAACGAACCTTTCCACCTCTAGCAACGAGGCGATGGAGCTACAGCCACCTCTGCGGGAGAGAAAGACGCTGGCGGCAACGACGACGCACGCGTCGTGTGACGTAAAGAGCGCGCTGTGCGGAACCTCGGCCACACCCGCAGAAGAACCTACCGGCTCCGTCCTGGCGGCTGTTGAGGGCACCGAAGCGGGGCCAATTCCACCCGAACGGTCACCGTTGCAATCGGTGGAGCCTGTGGAGACTGCCGCATCTCCGGTAGCAACAGCAACATCAAGGACGACAGCAGGAGAGGAAGGAGGAGGGGCCACGGCGGCGGCGGCGGCTGCGCCGCAGTTAACTCCAGATACAGCGGGGCGTGCTGCGGTGACCCTCGAGGCTGCCCACTCCATTGCTCAGCACGGCGCAGCACCACATCTCAGTGGAGTCAAACACCCCCCCAGTGACAGGCGGCGGAGGCGAGGAGCAGCTGCTGCGGTTCCAGCAGCTGCTAGCGGACGAGATGGAGGTGTCACGGCTTTTGCGGGAGGAGAAAAACCGACTTGAGCTTCGTATAAGGATGCTGGAAAAACAGTTGAATAGTTTTCATCAACTTAAGAAGAACGCCGTTCTGGCGGACCCGCAGAAGCTGGAGGCCCTGGAACGGGAGGGCTTGGAGCTCTCCAGCGAGCTGGGGAGGGAGCGCGAGCGGTACAAGTCGCTGTAAGAGAAGAAGACGCGGGTGGAAACTCGGCTGGAGGCGTTGGAGCAGAGGCTCGCTGAGTCTGCGCGGAAGGAGGAGGAGCTCCAGCAGCGTACAGCGGCCTTTCACGCCGACAGTGAGAAGGCGAGGCGGCGTGCGGCGGAGCTTAGTGCGCTTCTGAAGGAGCAAGAGGGCAAGGTGCGGCTGCTGCAGCAGCAGCTCTCCTGCGCCGAGCAGAGCCACGCGGAGCTGGTGGCACGGCACGAGAGGGAACTCTCTGAGCAAAAGTCGGAGCTGAAGTTTCAGAGGGAGAACACGTCAGGCACGCTGATGTCTCTCCAGCGGGAGAAGGAGGCCCTTGTATCATCATTGCAACAAAACCAGGCGGAGTACGAGCATCGAATTCAGGAACTGGAAAGTAAACTCATTCAGGCGAATCGTCGCACGTCTCAAGCAGAGATGCGGCTCACAGACAATGAACGTTCCGCCTTGGCGCCCCTTCGCGAGCTCCGGGCCGCGTTGGACGACGTGGAGCGGCAGAAGAAGCGCCTGATGGAGGAGGTGGAGTACTGGAAAGGGGAGTTTTCCGCGATGGAGCGGGGGCGGGAATCCGAGAAGAAACACTTCACACAACGACTAACCGATATGCAGAGTGAGATGCAGCTACTGCAGAACGAGAGGCTCGCTGTCGAAGAGGAACTGCAGCAGAGCAGGGGGAAACATTCACGGGCCCAACGGGCTTTGGAACACGCTCTGGAGCGCGCCTCCCAGGCAGAAGCAATGAAGGAGCAGCTGACAGTTGCGTTGGAGGAGGCGCGAAGGCGGGTGGACAGCGCCAGCTCCAGCAACAGCAACAGCAACAACATTGGCGCAGTAACCCCGATTCCTGGCGCGGGGATGGGGGAGACTGCAAGACATTCAACGCCCTCCTTTGATGCTAGCCACAGTAGCATAGTGCGACCCTTGTTTTCAGTGGATTCTGCCGACTCGGTCAGTGACGTCTGTCGCGGCAGCCGGAGACGTGTGGAGCGGGAGTTGGTGCGACAGGCCGTTGAGATTGAGCGACTCCGCCGCGTGGAAGAAGAGGGTGCGGAAGCCAAGCAAAAGCTTTTAGTTATTGCCGCCCAACATGATCTGCTCATGCAAATGTATGGCCAACTTCGGGAGGAGCTTCAGAAAAAGCAACTGGAAGTGTCCCCAAAGTAGTTCTCTTGAAGTGTCATTAGTTACTGCACGGGCACACTTGCACAGTGTTCTTTCTCTTCCCTCTTCCTCTGCCTCTTTATTTCTTTGTACCTCCCTGCGTCGAAGCTCTCGTGAGAGGTCAAACCAGGACGAGCGGAGGAGTGATATAGAGAAAAAAAAGGTGAGAGAATGCGAGGAGTGCGTGTGGTTTTGGGTTTTCCACCTTGTTTTTGTGTGGATGCACAGAGGCAATGTGTTGTCCGTTCTAACTCTTGCCTTTTTTATTTTGTTTTGTTTTGCGTTCATTTTTTTTTTTTGCTACGTTTCACTTGATGGTTATTATTGTTATTATTTCCCCCCCCCCCTGCCTCTTCTTCTTTTGGGCTTCGTTCCTTCTTCTTGCCGTCGACGCGCAATGGCGCACCCAGCGCTCGGGACCTGGCCTTCTCTGTCTCGCTTCTGACCCAGGCGTGCGGGGCAGTCGTGCTTGGAGCGGCGCTCGTATGGCTGCTTCGCGCGCTGTGCAGCATGCGGGCCGGTGGTGCTCCGAATCCCTCCGGCCCGGGCGGAGCCGCACCGCTTCCTCCCCCACCCGACATTGAGATTGGCGCTGTCGTCTTCATGACGAGCGTGCAACACGCGCAGGCCTCTAAGCGGCGGCTCACAAGGCAGCAGCAGCAGCGGCGGGAATCCGTTGCATTTATGGATCAACTGCTCTTGCTGCGTCATGGGGAGCGGCTGGACCACGTGGATCGGGCGTGGCGGGCCATCTCGCAGCTACCAGACACCGATCCCCCGCTTTCCGCCGCCGGTCGACGGCAGGCCCTTGAAACAGGGCTCACGTTTTTGCGGAAGCGAAGGCATGGTAAGGTGCGGCAGCGGGCGTTAGGAATGCTCTCGTTGCTGCTCGTTTCCCCTTTTCACCGTTGCATCGAGACAGCTCTCATTGTGAACATCGTCGGCTTTGACGGGAAGCTTGCCTTGTTTGTCGATCCCCTGTTGTCAGAATGGCACTCCGCAAAGTTGTTTTCCCGTCCACCGAGGTTGGGCGGCAGGTATTTCTTCACCACAGACACGATCACCTTTAGGCCGCACTGGGAGACGTTGTGTACGTCTCTGGGGGCCTTTTTTCGCTCCGCTGGGGGCGGCACGGAGGACGACATTGACGATGCCATGACCGCGCGATGGCTGACGGTGCTTGAGGAGCGGTGGGCACAGAAGCCTGCCTTCCCTGTCTGGACCTCTGCCTCGATGCGGCAGTCGTTGCGCAGGAAAGCGTGCGCGGAGGATGGTGCGGCGCAGCGTGTTTTTGGCAGCATCAGCAGCGACCTCACGGGTATAAATTACCCAGAGAACCCGACGCATATGCTGCGCCGAGTTGGGGAGGCGATTCAAGTGCGTTTTGACGCCAGCGCAGGGGAGGCCGCTGGCGTGCCCATGTGCGTTAAAGAGGCCGAAGCGCAGGAGGCAAGACGTCTGCCTCGGAGATTTGTGCATCAATCAGCGATGAGGTCAGCTGTGGCAGCGGCACGCGAGGAGGGTGCGGTGCTGTTGCCACCAACCCGTATTATGATGGTGACACACGCGGAGGCGGTGGCGATGGCGGTGAAGCACTGCTGCCCCAGGCACCACAGCTTGGACAACCGAGTTTCCGCCCCGTACTGCAGCCTCACCGCCCTCTCGCGTGTGAATGATTATTACTGCACCCTCGACGACGAGGCACCGGAGGCGCGGAGACCTCGCAAGGGGTCAGAGAAGTCGTGGTGCGTGGCGATGGCGGGGTCAACAGAGCACCTGCAGACAACTATTCTCCTGCAGTACAGTTAGTTTGGCAGCGGGCAGTCGCCACAAGAGGTGACAGTATGCACACATAAATATATACATATACCTATCTATATGCGCACGACAAGGGCAACACCAAAGCGAGACTGAAAAAAAAAAAAAACTCATCTGAACAGTTCTTGCTTGAAGACAAAAAAAAAAAAAGAATATGCCGTTACCCTTTTCTTCATTCTTTCTTCACTTCTCTTCTCTCATTGCTGAGCAGCTTAAAGGTTGTCGTGTCGTGCCTTTTTTGGACAAGCGGGAGGGTAGCAGGTGTTTTTTGTGTTTCCACCTTCACATTTTTTTTTGTCTTTGTTTTTCAAGGGCTTCGTCGCTGGAGGCCTCGAATGCCATGCCCCGGAGGAATTTGTGCCAGCAATGCAAGTCGTACGACGAGGGTGCCGAGGATCCCGGGGACAACAAGTGGTACTGCACGGCCTGCTGGTCGGCCTACAACGACGGCGACGGCAACGCCGCGAGTGGCGCGGCGAGGGGCCATCGCCGTGGCGACAGGGAAAATAAGCCCCAGAAGGAAGCGGCTCCGCGCCGGAAAAAGCCGACTATCATGAACAGTTGGGGCCACGACGCTCAGGCCGCCCTGCGTCGACTGGAGGGCATGTACGCAAGCTGCTCTCATCAACGACGTCCCAGCACCTACGCGACAAGCCTGCTGGAGGATGTGTTGACGGTCATGGCTGACACGGAGAAGCAGCGGCGCACAAGTTCCTTTGTTGGGCAGTTCATGCAGCGGCAGCAGACCATCACGGTGGTGTCGCATTCTGGAGAACCCATTTCACCACGTGGCGATCGCGTGGGAAGTGTGGGACGCTCCGCATACCAGGAGAGCCGCAAGGTTCCGCTGGATATGCTGCTCTCGAGCGTGGACGATATAGTGTCGCAAATATACGTCTGCTTTGATGAGAGCATGACGCAAATTATTCTGAATGCCCTTGACAAGGTCACGGCGTGTGACACAGAGAAGCAACGAGATGCGGCGCGGGTGCGTGCCATTGACGAACTGCTGCAGACCCTTGGCGACGAGCACTACGACCTCCTCCAGTGCGTCATGCACCGACCGCGTGACATCTTTCTGCGTCTCCTGGAGGAGTTCTGCACTCTGGAGGACGACGATGACGGGCCGGACGCCCGAAACAGTTCCTCCACCTCTCCACAACACGCACTAGCACTTCGTTTTGTGAAGACAGCGAAGCAGCGCTCAGCGATGCGGGAGGTGGAGTTTGCGCGCAATGGGGAAACGGTGGATCAGCGTTGGCTGGCGCACATGACACAGCGGTATCGACAGCTCATGCGGGAGTCGGAGTTGGATCAGATCTTTAAGCGTGATCTTAGCGTCACTGGCTCTTCCATGGCCAGCGGGTTCACTGTGACGCAGAAGAAGGACCACCTCCGCATTCATGTCCCTCCACCTGCCCAGAAGGTGATGCCTGTGACTGAGCGCGTGTGCGTTGCCACATCCCTGCCGGCGTGGACACACGCGGCCTTTCTCAGCGTCACGCACCTCAACACCATTCAGACCACGCTCTTTCGAACAGCCTTTTACACGTCGCAGAACATGCTTGTGTGTGCCCCGACGGGCGCGGGCAAGACGATTTGTGCCCTGCTGGTGATGCTGCGCTGCATTCAGGAACACTTTGAGGAAGGGACGTTGAATCGTGACTTCAAAATAATATTTATTGCCCCCATGAAGGCACTTGCACAAGAGATGGTAGAGAATTTCTCACGCCGTTTGGCACCATTTGCCATGGTGGTGCGGGAGCTCACGGGCGACATGCAGCTGACCAAGCGAGAGATCGCCCAGACGCAGGTGATTGTAACCACACCAGAGAAGTGGGATGTCATCACGCGCAAGCAAAGCAACGAAGACTTTGTTCAACAGGTCCGACTGATTATTATTGACGAGATTCATTTGCTAAATGAAGACCGCGGTCCTGTGTTGGAGGCCATTGTTGCTAGGACCCTGCGTCAGGATGAACTGCATGCAGACCAACGGCAGCCGACGCGCCTTGTTGGCCTCTCTGCGACGCTGCCAAACTACAAGGATGTAGCCAACTTTTTGCAGGTCGATCTCGAGGAAGGACTCAAGGTGTTTGGGCCTGAATACCGCCCAGTACCACTTGAGCAGACGTTTCTTGGCCTGCACACCGGCGCAAAAGACAAGGAGCAGCAGCTAGATTGGCTTGCGTACACGGAGGTGGTAAGAAATGTGCGTGAGGGACACCAAGTGATGGTGTTTGTACACTCGCGGAAGCAAACCGTTGGGCTTGCCAAGTACTTTGTCGGGGAGGCGACGAAACACGCCCAGGACAGTTTGTTTAAACCGAGCGGCACCTTGCCGAGTGAGGCGGTGAAGCGGGGCTGCAGCCTGCAAGGCCGCGACCTCACAAGTCTCTTCTCGGCCGGCTTTGGCGTTCACCACGCCGGTCTGATTAGACACGACCGCACCACGACGGAGGGCTTGTTCCGCGACAGGTTCATAAAGGTGCTTGTCTGCACCAGCACCCTTGCATGGGGCGTGAATCTGCCAGCACACACCGTTATCATTCGCGGGACCCGTTTGTATGACCCAAGTCGTGGGGGTCTTGTTCCCATCTCCGTCCTTGACGTGATGCAGATCTTTGGCCGCGCAGGTCGACCGCAGTACGACACAAGCGGCCACGGCATTATTGTGTCGGACGAGAAGGACGTGGGGCACTACCTTCGCCTGCTGGCCAACGCGCTTCCCATTGAAAGCCAACTGCAGAAAAATCTTGCCGACCACCTCAATGCGGAAATCCACGCCGGAACCATCTCCTCCATTGTGGAGGGCTCCAGGTGGTTGGAGTACACGTACATGTGGCAGCGGCTGCGGGTGAATCCGCTCATGTACGGCTTGAAAATCGCAGCCGTGCGCCGCGATCCGAAGCTCAAAACCGTGCGCTACGAACTCGTAAGTAAGGTTGCGGAGGAGCTGGCGAATACTGGTATGATTCGCTACAACCAACAGACAGGTGCGGTTGATACGACAGAACTAGGACGCATCGCAAGCCATTATTACATTTCACATGAGACTATTGCGACATTTAACCAAAAGCTGCGGCGACCAGATGAGACATGGATCGATAGCCTGGATATGGGTGCGGCCATGGATGTCATCGCTTCCGCAAGTGAGTTTTCGCAGTTGCGTGTACGACAGGAGGAGCTTGACGAGTTGCAAAAGATACACTCCATGCTGCCCAAGCAGGTGCAGCGCTACGCGATTGTCGGCGAAAGCACTGATGAGACAAGCGTCGAGTGGAAGGTAACAACCCTCATGAAGGCCTACATTAGTCGGATTCACGTTGATATGCATTCCTTGGCCTCGGACGTCAACTATGTGGTGCAAAATGTGCCTCGTATTTCGAGGGCACTGTTTGAGATTGAGACGCAGCGCGGACATCCCTTGACCACGGCCGTGTTTCTGACCCTTTGCAAGTGCATGGAGCGGCGTTGCTGGGAGTTTGAGCACCCCCTGAGACAGTTCAACGTGGACTTCACAGATGCCGTCCAGAGGCACCTTGAGCAGAAGCGACCGAGCATGATGCTGCTGGAGGAGCTGACAGCGCGTGAGATTGGGTCGTTGGTGCACAACCAACGCATGGGTAGCGTGATCGCCGGGTTGGTGGCGTCGTTTCCCGCCGTGAACCTCAGCGTTGATGTTCAGCCCATCACACGCACAATTCTTCGTGTGAAGATAACCATCACCCCGACCTTCACCTGGAACAGCCGTCATCACGGCTCCGTGGAGCAGTTCTGGCTCTTCGTTGAGGACCAGGACAACAATTTCATCTTCCACCATGAGATGGTCTTGCTGAAGCGGAAAGAGGTGGAGATGGGCTTGCCGGTCATCGTCGACCTCTCGGTTCCAATTGTTCCCGAGTACGAGATGTACTCGGTACGCTTTTACAGTGACCGTTGGCTCGGCAGCCAGGAGGATTTCACGTTTTCTATCGGGCACCTGCACCTGCCGGAGGATACGCAAGTGACGACGCGGCTGCTGCCTCTCGCGCCTCTCCGTCGTGAAGTGATTCCAGAAGCCTACCAAGCCATTTACGAAAAATTCCCACAGTTTAATGCGGTGCAAACGCAAGTGTTTCACGCCTTCTTTCACACGGACAGCAGTATTTTCCTTGGAGCTCCGACGGGTAGTGGCAAGACTGTGGCGGCGGAGATGGCGATGCTGCGCGTCTTTGAGAAGTGTCCCCCCGGGTCGAAGATTGTGTATATTGCCCCGCTGAAGGCGCTTGTGAAGGAGCGGGTGCGAGACTGGACCGCACGATTTGATCGGCGTCTCGGTCGACGTGTGTTGGAGCTCTCCGGTGACGTCAACCCCGACATCGCCGCCTTGGTGCGGGCGGACATTTTATGCACAACGCCCGAGAAGTGGGACGGTCTCTCGCGCAATTGGCAGGTGCGCCGCTACGTGACGGCGGTTCGTCTGGTGGTCTTTGACGAGATTCACATGCTTGGCTCTGACCGTGGCCCAATTCTTGAGGTGATCGTCAGCCGCATGCGATACATTGGCTGGCATCGTAAGGCACCCATCCGTCTCGTTGGTCTCTCCACCGCCGTGGCGAACCCGGCCGATCTCAGTTCTTGGCTTGGCATCCAAGAGAGATGGGCGGTGTTTAACTTTGACCCTTCTGTGCGGCCGGTGCCAATGCGTGTGTACATATCTGGTCACCACGGCAGCCAATACTGTCCTCGCATGGCGGCGATGAACAAGCCAGTGTATAATGCGATATGTGAGAAGAGCCCCAACAAGCCTGTTATTGTGTTTGTCTCCTCGCGGCGGCAGACGCGACTGACGGCAATGGCTCTCATTGGATTTCTGTTGATGGAGCAAAACACGGCCAAGTTTGTGCGCATGGACGTGGAGGAGGTTACCGCACTCACCGAGAAGATCAGCGACGTCAACGTGAAGCACTGCATGCAGTTTGGTATTGGCATTCATCACGCCGGCCTCCTGGAGGGAGACCGCACGGAGGTGGAAAACGCCTTTCTTCTTGGGAAGTTGCAGATTCTAGTGGCGACGTCGACGCTTGCGTGGGGCGTCAACTTCCCCGCACACATGGTCGTGGTGAAGGGCACAGAGTACTACGACGGGAAGGACAAGAGCTACGTGGACTACCCTATCACAGACGTGCTGCAAATGATTGGTCGAGCGGGCCGTCCACAGTACGATGATGAGGGAATCGCACAGGTGTTGTGCCACGAGCCCAAAAAAGGTTTCTACCGCAAGTTTCTCTACGATCCCTTTCCGGTGGAGAGTGCGCTGCATCAACAGTTGCATGTACACATCAACGCCGAGGTTGTGGCTGGAACAATCGCGTCTCGACAGGACGCCGTGGACTACTTGACGTGGACGTACCTCTTCCGTCGACTCGTGAAGAACCCGTCGTACTACGGCGTGGAGGATCGCTCGCCGAAGGCGGTCACAATTTTTATCTCCAACCTTATCGCCAACGTTTTGGACGAGCTTGAGGACTGTGGCTGCATCGCCTCGCCTGAGGAGGAGGCGGAGGAGGAGGAGGATCGTAAGGGGGCAAATGCCGCTGACAGTGACGGTGAAAAAGACCCGGACGCGTTGACCTGCACTGTCCTCGGCAGGCTATGCTCTTACTATTACCTCTCACACAAGACAGTCCGTTACTTTGACCACCACATTCATGCTGACAGCTCGCACTTTGATGTGCTGAAGGCGCTGTGTGAGGCGGAGGAGTTTAATGAGATGCCTGTGCGGCACAATGAGGACAAACTCAACCTGATGCTCAGTGAATCCTTGCCACTGCCAATCAATCCAAACAACGCGGAGTCACCCCATGTGAAGACGTTTCTGCTTTTCCAGGCGCATTTCGAGCGGGCCACTTTGCCCGTCTCGGATTACTACACGGACCTGAAGTCGGCTCTTGACAACGCCGTGCGTGTAGTGCAGGCGATGGTTGACATTACCTCAAACAACGGGCACCTGTACGCCGCGCTACGCTGCATGTCGTTGCTGCAGTGCATCGTGCAGGGCCTGTGGTGGCACTCCAGCACTCTGCTTCAGATACCGCATGTCACGGCGGCGATGCTTCCCACGATTGCCGCACGTTGCGGCAACCTTGAACACGCGGCTCAAGTTGCGAATAGTTCATTTGCCGCAGTGCAAACACTACAAGCGGTGCTGCGCGACGACTGTGGTTTGAGTGCAACGCAGCTCCGTGAGGCGATGGCGGCTGTACGCGGGTTCCCTCTCATTGAGGTGCGACTGCGTCTCTCGCGAATGCTCGCGTCGAGTTCGAAGAACGGTGCTGAGGAACACTTGGGAGCTGGGGCAGGAGTGGCTGCCGCTGCGGAATACGCGTTGACGGTGCACCTCACACGTCTTTCCCTGCAAACCAAACATGTCGTTGCCCCACACTTTACGAAGCCGAAGGACGAGCAGTACTGGCTCGTGGTGGGTTATGAGAAGACAGGGGAGTTAATCGCCTTGAAGCGCGTCAACCGACTGGCGAATCGCGTGGAGGCGACTTTGCATTTCGACTGGGACGACGACTGGGCCGAGTTTGCAGAGGGCGGTGCGGTGGCTCTCAGCCTGTACCTCGTGTGCGACTCGTACGTGGGACTTGACCAGCAGTACACCTTCAGCGTGCCGCTGCCCACCGACGCGCGACCCGACGGGGGCGGGTAGCGCAAACCGGGAGGACAAGCAGGGCGGGACAGGAGGAGGCGGACGAGAAGCACGAAGCTGGGGGGAGGGTGCTGAGGAGATGCGGGGGGGATGGGGGTTGCGCGGCGGCAATGAGCGGAGTAAACCAGGGCGGGGCTTTGGAGCGGAGGTATATAAATGCCACACGACTGCGTGGAGAAGCGCTGTAATGAAGGAAAACGCTCGGCGTTTTTTTTCTTTTGCTTTACTTCCTCCCTCCCTCCCTCCCTCCCTCCCTTTCCCTTCGCTTTCGGCGTCGGTGCGTGGTCCGTTTTTTTTTTTCCTCCTGACTTTGTCATTAGACGACCGGCGTCTTCACTTGTTATTTTTTTTTTCCTTGCTGGTGGTCTCGCTGCACGGCCTCAAAACAACATCAAGTAGCTCGGCTGTCGTGGGCTTCCCCTCGGCCTGCCGAACAGCGGCGGCGGCAGTTGGCAGCAACGGCGTTCGCAGTGGCCCCCATGTCCGCTAAGCCTTTGCTCACCGGCAGGTGTTTTTGGGGAAGGCGGATGACGCCAAGTGGCCCACTTGTGTACACTGCCGTCGGGGACTGCAGGGAGCGCAGCTACGGTCAGCGGACACCGATGAGTTTTCTCGGAAACACGTATTATGAGCGGCGCTTCGGGAAGGCAACTTCCTCCCACGGTGCACCACCCGGCGGTTCGTTGTCGCCGCCGCCGCTCCGCGCCGGGGACGTTCTTGTGAGGATGGGCTCTGCTGCGCCGGCGGCGTTGCGTGGTCGCCGCATTGTTGATGTGACGGGTATACACACGAGTTTCCTGGACGCCTCGGAAAGGGACGCAAGTGCCCGTTGCTGCATAGACGATGTTGTGCATTCGATGCACATGCACGACGGTCACGAAGTGCCGGAGTTGAACCGTGGCAGCGTCGACATTGGCAGGCTTGCGGTGCTGTGCGCATTCCCGGTGGGCGGAGCGGCTTTGCTGCTTCCTCTTGAGAACGTCTCGCGAACGTTACTAAAACGGCGGTCCTTGGGGTACCGCAGCGAGGAGGAGGGCGTGCAGCTGGTGCGCGTCATCGCGGAGGGCTGCTGCGCCGGTGCGTCGCGCGGGCTGCGCCTGCGTCCCGTCATGCGCAACGATTGCATTGCAGGCGTCCGTCTGGAGTGAGGCAAAGCGTGGAATGCTTGCCAAGGTGGACGCGGTGCGTGTGTGTGTGGAGGCTGTGTGTGGAGGAGAGGGGGGTGGGCCTTGTCAAGGGGCTTTGCGTCACACCGTCGGCGCCGCGCTCGCCAGCCAACCAACGAAAATATATATATACATATATATATATAGCCACGCACGAAAAAGCGATGTGGGAAAGGAAGGGATGAAAAAAGCGACACGGTACTTCCCCGTTGTTTGGCTGTGGTTGTGTGTGATGCATGGCGGGTGTTTCCCTGCTGTGTTCTTTTTTATTATTGACGCCGCAGCAACTGCGCTTCTGCTCTTTGCTGCTTCTCTCCTTTTCACTTCCTGTAGTGTGTGTCTGTGTGCGTGTGTGTGATTCGATGCCGAGCGGACCCAAGTCGAATAAGTTCACGAACCGCCACGCGGCGGAGGCTCGCGAGCGCGATCAGGAGCGCCAGGCGAAGACGAAGGCGGTGCGTGAGCAGACGATGGAGGACGCCAAGTGGGTGGAGGATGATCCAAGGCAGCTGAAGAGGCTTGCCAAGCAGCAGGAGACGGAGGAGAAGGCGCGGAGGCAGGAGGAGGCGCGGGCGGAGCGGAAGGAGCAACTGGAGCGGGAGGAGCAGGAGTTGGGCCAGAAGGTGCCGCAGAAAGTTTCACGGCGGCAGATTCAAAAGGACCTGTCAAAGCTGCTCAGCGACTACGACAAGGGAAAGGAGAATGAGCGCCGGCGGCAACCAGGGGCTCTCGTCGATAATGCGGAGGCCTCACTGCCGGAGAGCAATCCAAACCGGGCGGCGAGGAAGGAGGCTAGGAACAGCAGCGGCGAGATAAAGGCAACCGGTGGCGTCACGGAGGCGCTCTCAGCGTTGCAGTCTGGCATGCAGACGGGGGCTGCGTCTGTGACGGAGGATCGCCACATCGGCAAACGTGCACGCGTTCTCTACCGGCAGTTCTGCGAGGAGCACCTTCCCACGCTGCGTGAGGAGAAACCCAGGCTGCGCCGCACGCAGTACGATGAGTTGCTGTGGGAGATGTGGCAGAAGAGTCCGATGAACCCCTTCGTGCAGCGCAGTGAGCAGCGGTCGAAGGAGCGTCTTGAGCAGGAGCGCCGGTGGATGCAGGGGGACGACGAGGAAGAGGGCGAGGACGACGAGGAGGGGAAGAAGGACTGATGTGCGGAGGCGCTAGACGACTTTGGGGTGAGTGGGGGGTGGGGGGCATCCTGCAGGGAGAAGAAGAATAAAAAGAAGAAAAAGAAAACTAAAAAGACAAGCAAACAAACAAGAGTGGGAATTAGGCGCAGGAGTAAAACAATGAATGTCAAAGCCAAACTCATACGCGTTGAATGCTTAGCGACACAACTCAGGCAACATTTAATACTCTACAACTGTAACGGGACTAATGGATCGGCACGGGCGCAGTCCTTTTTTTTTGTTATTAAACTCTTGCATAGAACTGGGTCATGACAGCTCATTGTTGTTTGCTTCCCCTCTCCCATGGTTTTTCTTCGTCTTCCGTGCCTTTAACCACGTTCTCTCCTACGTGTGTTTTTGTGTGTGTGTGTGTGAGTTCTTGCCCATCGTGGTAAGAAGGCGGTCGCATTGACAGTTACACAGTCGCATTGGGCCGTCCCACCCACCGACTCATACACACAAGCACACAAAGTGGTCTATTTTTCATCACACTTCTTGCAATGCCGCCGCGAGCACGACCAATGTTTGGTCGTGCCAACCGCCGGGGGAACAATCCTTCCTCTCCCACGCGGCGCGGAAGCGTGGCGCCGCTGGGCGACGTGGTTGCCTCCACCTTTGCTAACGTTGACCTGCGCCTCACAAAGTCTGCCATGGCAGACTATTCGAAACGGTGTGAAACCATGTCACGTGAGAATGTTTTGCTGCGGAATCAGCTGGAGGAGCACGAGTCCGACTCGATCAAGGTGGTGCAGCACCTGAAGGAGAAGCTGCAGTGCGCGGAGGCGGAGGTAAGCGAGCAGCGGGGCGAGATTGAGCGTCTTCTCGCGGAGAGTGCGGAGGCGGAGGAGGCTCTGCGACACCAGTACGAGCATATTTTAGAGGAGCGGGATGCGCAGATGACGCAGTACGCCGCCATTGTCCAGCGACTGCAGACAGAATTGAAGGCGGCCGCGCAGCAGGTGCATGAGCGGGAGCGGCACCGGCTTGAGCTGCAGCGGCTGCACGACGAGATTGAGGACATGCGAACACGCCACGACGGCGAGATTGCCGCACTGCGTTTTCAAACTGTGGACCGCAAGATGCGGCTAGTTGCGCTGGAGGAGATGATGCGGGAATCGTTCAAGACGCAGGTGGAGAAGGAGTCCGAAAGACTACTAGAGGCGAAGTCCAAGGCGCTGCTAGAGGACCATGAGTCGCTGCAGTACGAGCGGGTTCGGCTGACACAGGAAATTGAGGAACTGGTGCAACTCACGACGGTGAAGAACACGGAGTGTGCCGATGTCAGGCGGAAGGGGGAGCTGCACCAACACGCCTGCGAGGAGGCACTGCGACGCATTGTGCTGGGCAATCGTCGCGCACGGGAGTCTGAGGTAAAAACGCAGCGGTTAGAGCGGCGCGTGAAGGAGCTGATACAAGAGAAACAAGCGATCCGGGACGAGCTCTCGCGCCAGTACGAGACACAGATACAAAACTTGGAAAAGACGCTTGCCGAGACGCGCAGCTCGCTGCAGTCACACCGCGTTGAGCTGCAGCGACTGCGCCACGTTGCCTCGACCATAGTGGACCAGCGCTCTGACCTTGAGAGGTTTTTTTACGTGGCGCTCGAAGACGTGCGGCGGATGCGGTCGAGGGCGCCGCGACGGCCACCATTGGGCCCCCCGGTGCAGCTGCCATCCCTCCCCGCCGCCGACGGCGGCAGCGGCGTCCACCCGCAGAAGCAGCAGCAGACTCCGCCGGCGGCAGGGATGCGGGTGCCCTCCCCTGTGGCGGTGAAGGGCACAACCTTCCTAACGGAGTCGCCGGTAAGTGCTCCTGCCATGGGCTTAGCCAGCGCCACACCTTCTGCTGTGGCCGTGAACACAACGGTTGCTTCGTCGACGCGGCCCTCGTCCTCTGTGGCGGTGCCGTCACCGCCCCCTGGAGCGGCACCGCGGCGGCGGGGTGGCGGTAGCGCAAGGCCGACGCGCGATGCCACGAGTAGCAGCAACGGCGTCTTCATCAACCTCGGTGAGGGCGGTGAGGGGGTGTACCTGAGCGACCTGTCGTGGGAAGACAAGGAGAAGATCATCAAGGCGCTCCTCTTCTTCATCAACCAGACATGCTACCAAAGGCTGCCAGGGGGCCATGCGGCGAAGCGGGAACCGACACCGATGGAGGCCTAGGCGCCTCTGCCTGCGTGGAGTGAGCTCACGGATGCATGATATTCCTTGGGTCTTCTTCCCCCTCCGTTTTTTTCCTCTCACGGTCATGTCTTTTTTTTTGTTGTTGAGTCTTACTTCCTCTGATTTAATTTGACGTTTTTGTTTTTTTTTTCCCCTCCCCTCTCTCTCGTATGTTGCGTTGCTCAGAAGTTTTCTTGCCTCCTCACGCACTCACACCGACGGCGTGCTTCTCTGACGAGGATGGTCGCCGCCGCAAGTGGAGCCGACGAATGCGAAACAAAACGAGAGGGGGTAAAAAAAAAACGTGAGACAACAACGACAAAAAATCTCAGTGAAACGTGGTGTGCAGTCGTAATGCATGCATACATATATATGCATAAAGTTCCATGTAAGGATATGTATTATAGTGTCAAGTGTGCTTTACTGGACACAGGAGTCGTTTCTCTGGCTATGTGTGTTCGACGCATACGCTACTCTCTTTCTGCACATCAGACATGTAGGCACACCATGTACTTTGCAGTGGTCTCACTGTGTATTGTACGGAAGTAGGTGTGCATCCAGGTACATGATCATTCTCTTCTCTTGCCTCCACTCCAAGATGTCTGTGTGTGTGTGTGTGTACCGCTTCTTCTGCTTTGCTTTTGTTCTTTTTTTTTTGCTCAGTCAATGGGAGGAGATGAACTTTGACGATCCTTTCGCGGGCGATTTAAAGTCCATTGACGCTGTCATGGCGGAATTCTCTGCTGAGCAGCGTCGTCGGTCACAACCACCACCACCACCACCGAGCGGGGCATCAACGCTGTCAGCGGCAACCGGCAGCTTCTCGAGCGCGTTTGTGGAGGGCCGCGCAGGCAGACGCGGCGTCGTGTCCCCTAAAGGCCTGGGGCGACAAGCACCGCCGGCGTCTGCATTTTCGACAGTGGCAAAAGCACCAGCTTCCACGGCGGCGGTAAAAGAAGAGCCCATGCCGTGGGAGGTAGATGACATCCCTCCCCCGGCCACGCGCACAAGTGCGACTGTGATGAGCTCACGGGGTGCGTCGTTGGTGACATTTGTGGGTGGGAGCGGCCGACACGACGCGGTTGCGGCTGCACGGAATGACGGCGACGACGAAGATCCGCTCGCCTTTCTTGAGAAGACGACGTCGTCAGCGGTGCTGGCTTCAGGGCGAAGCCAGTACGCAAACACTGCGGCTGCCGCGCCTCCGCAGGAGCACGTGGAGGACGCGGAGATGAAGCGGCAGACACAGCGACGTGATCTTCTCTCCTCGCTGGACGCTGTTGCGATGGAGCTTGATCACATGCATGGTATGCTCGACACCCTGCAACTACGGGCGGACACCGAGTTAACGGAGCTGGAGACAAAGATCATCGAGAAGCAGACGGAACTCGCCTCCAGCGAGAGCCGCGTCGTCAGCGAGCGGCGCCAGTATGACTCGTACCACCAACGACGTCTGATGGAGATAAGTGAGCGCACCCCCGAGCTGCTGCAACGACAGCAGGAGGAGGTGACGGCGGCGGAGAAGGAGCGCTATGGGGCCCAGTTGCGCGCCCTCACGACAGCGGTAGAAGATGCCAAGGTCAGAATAGATCGGCTGTCCCAGCAGCGTGAGTTACTGCTGCAGCAACATAGATATGATGAGCAGGGCATCTTCCTAGCCCTGGCAGAAGAAGAGACGAGGAGTGAAAAGAAGTCCGCTGCAGATGGGGGTGATTCTGGCGGCATGGATACTGCAGCAGAGGAGAGTCACACAATTAGTACTGATAGCGATAGCGGTGTTGAGGCCAAGATGAAGGCCGCTCTCCGACTGATTCGACGACATCATGATGAGCGACTGGAGTCCCTTGCAAGCGGCGTGGTGCAGTTTCTTCACCAGGAAACCAGGGATGTTGCCGGAGAGGTGCGTAAGGTGCACGAATTGGCGTACTTGCAGGATGCTGTCAGGCGCAAGGAGGATCTCGGGGAGTTCATGCAAGACTTCCTGCGGCGCTATCGCGAGTTTTTCCAGCGTCGTACAGAGTTGCGATCACGCAGCATGGCTGCCCTGCGACAGGGATTGCAGCAAGCTACGGAGCAACTGCGTTTGAACGCCAGGCAGCGTTTGGAGTCACGCACGCGAGAGGTGGCGGCGAAGATGGAAGCAGCCGCACGGCGCTTCGAACAGCTTGCATTGGAGTCTGCCGAGTGTCTGCAGCGAAAAGCCGCCGCGGTGCATGAGAGTGACACGCTTGCGGCAAAAAGCCAGCGAGCCGACTTGGAGAACCGCTGTCAAGTGGAGCGGGCTGTCACGGAGAGGCTCCAGCAATCTGAGGAGGAGACGCTGCAGAGGCAGCTGGAGCGAATGCTGCGGATGGGCAACGACGGGGCCAAAGAAGACGACAGCAATGAGGTTTGGAATGGCGACGGTGCGGCGCTGCAGAAGCAGGTGGCGCAGGGCATGTGCACAGCGAGGGCGGAGTCCATCGCCAGCAAAGTGCGCCAATTGGAGTCGTCTGTGCAGCAACTTCTCCGCGAGCAGCTGATGTGGAACCAGGCACACCGCGTCGAGGGAGAGGGCCACTTGTTCCTGACAGATGAGGAGGTTTTCTTGCGTATGGCGTTGCAGGAGAAAGAGGCCACCGTCGTGGCCTTACTGCAAGAGGTGCAAAGCCGACAGAGTGAACTATCGGCAACGCGTCAAAGATGTGGCGAGCTGCGGGAACACATCGCTGCCAACCTCCAGGAGGACGTGCAGGCTGTGCGACAGCAACGCTTGGCGCGGGAGTCTCACCTTGCGAGCGTTGAACTCCTCCGCATGGCGTGGGAGAGGGAGCAGCGGGAGCTGCTGCAGTGGGGCCATGAGGTGATGCTGACTCCTGCAGGTCCCACCGCTCCGCTTGCCCCCACCGCCGCACGCACACACCTCCCGACGGCCAGCACAACGACAGAAATAATGCAGCGACTCGCGGAGCGCAACCGGGCGATTATGGAGGAGCGGGCGAAAGTGCGCGCCCAGCGGCGTCGTCTCTTTCACGCGATGGAGAAGGAAAATGCCGACGTCTTCGCGAGGCAGCGCGAGACGGAGTCGCGTTGGATTCAGATGTGTGAGCAACTACTTAGCCTCGTGGTAGCGGAGGAAGCGGCGACGGCGCGGCGGGCCGCCGTGGGAACGGAGATTGCGAAGATGGCGGCGATGAGGGAGCTAATAAATCACGACAAGGATCTGTTTCGCGCCCGCCGCGAGGAAATGCAGGAGGAGGTGGAGCTGCTCAAGAGGGAGCTGCAGGCGGCGCTGACGCAGAAGGCAGAACACGATGCACTGCAACAGCAAATTACCGCGGAGCAGACGGCGTTGGCGCAGAAGCAATATCAACTGGCCATTGAGCAGAGCCGTGTAGAGACGACTGCTGCGGCTGAGGCGGAAGCGGAGGGGCAGCAGCGACGACAGCCGCCCCCAAAAGAGCCGCCGCACGCTGGCCGTCCGCTCTCTTTTGGGAAGTACTCACCGTGTCCCTCCGCCGACGTCCTCCAGGAGGTGACGGGCTGCGATAACATCCCTGCCCCAAAAGTAAGTCAGCAGGAGCAGCAGCCGCCGCTGGGGATGGCGGGAAGAAGAAGCACGCTGCCCCCCAGCATGATGCCCCCGAACGGTGGGGGAGGCCCGAGTCGCGCTTCATCCTCTCTGGAGGCGGCGGGGGAAACGGGCTTCTCCCCGTAATCCGTACAGTTCTTAAGTTTTATTTTATTTATTTTATTTCTAGTGTTGTTTGTTTCGTGGTGCGGATTAGCATCGCCGCGTCAGAAACAGACTTGTGTGATGCACGCTTGCGCTGCCACTCTATGCGCTTGCGTTAGGGCAGACCGACACAACGTCCCCCCCCCCCCCCACCAACTCTGTTTTTCTTTTTTCTTCACGAATTCACAAATGAAAAGGAGCATAAAAGCGAAGCATGAAATGGGGGAAATGGGTGTTGGAGGGAACATTTTGTTGCGCTTTGCATCCCATGTCGGTCCATGTGTCTTTTTTTTTAGTTTCGTTTTGCTTTTCCCCCCACCAGAACAGAGTCCATCTGTGTGATAGCAATTAGTTGTCGTTAGTCGAGCATGCAGCAACCTGCGTCACTGAGTGTCAGCGCACCTCCCGCGCCTGTGATCAAGCGTGCGACATCGGTGAAGCTCACCTATGAGGAGGTGCGGCGCGCTGCCATGTTTTCCGTGCTCGACGATTTTGCTTTCCAAACGCAGTATAAGCGCCGTGCCCAGCGCCTGAAGGAGACCGGGGGTAACGTGCTGGTGATTTCCAATCCTGCTGGTGATCCGGTGGAGAACGTCTCAAAGGGTAGCTCGACACGGCTGCTGCGAGAGCACTCCAGCGCTTCGTGGGGTGTGTACTTTTACCAGTGGAGTTTGTTCGGCCTGACTGGCATCTCGTCGGTGGCAACGGCGATGGGGTTTTATCTCACCATTTACCACAACCGCATGTTTTTGCCCCTCGGCCCAATGGCGGCGGCGGTGACGTGGCGCCTGTGGGACCTGTTGGAGGCGGCGTGGGAGCAGCAGCGTTACATTGACAATGCCGCGCGTCTGCGTGACTCACGCCAGGGCAATCCGATGAATTTGGTGGCGAAGCGCACCGCCACTCAGGGAGAGGTAGAACCATTGGATGATATGATGTAGTCGGCGGCACCTTGAGAGAAAGGGCGAAAAAGCAACTGCAACACGAATCCAAAAAGGAAGCCCCCGCCCAAAAGGAACGAGGGGTGGTCTTCGCCCTCTGTCTAGTACTCCTTTTTGTCACACCTCTGTTATTTGCCCGGGGCGTGTCTGTGTTTCATGTTGTTTGCTTGCGT